ATCTTCCTCACCAAAAAAAAAAAAAAAAAAAGAAGATCCCAGCACTGTTGGCTTGTGATCTATCTTTTCCTACTCTGCCCAAAGGAAAGAAGCCTGAGCTTCCTTCTTTCATGCCTACAATGGGGGGCCATGGAGTCGGGGCATCTGCAACCCTGTCTGACTCCAGGGATGCTTCAGGCTGATGCTGGCTCAGCCACTGCCCTCAGCAATGCTTTTGCACTCTCCTGTGTATCTTCATCAGCCAAAGAAAAGTGTGTATGAGCCACACTTCTTGCAGATTTTATTACAAAAGCAACATCGACATTGATATTGAACGGGCTTTTTCAAATAACATGCCCACCTCCTGCCCTGGGGGACCCTCTCAGGTGCAAATGACTTACATCCTTGGGAACACCATAACACACCACAGAGAAACTGCTGACCGGAGGGGTCCGATCATCCTTGTTCCAAAGTTAGTTTGGTTTTCTAAGGTCCCCAGAGCTGGAAGCCTCACGCAGAAGTGGAGATCCTGGTACCATGCTACCCAAGCGCTGGTCTATACCCCGTCTATAACTGGCTGTTACTAAACAGCCAAGATGCAGGACAAGGAGCAGCCCATCAGCCAGCGGTCTCTCTGCAGGCACTCTCCGGGATCTCAGCCAAGGTCAGGAAGAGTACCCTTGACGAGCCGAGGGCCCCCAGTACCTGCAGGAGGCTCCTCCGGAGTGACTCACAGATGAAACTGTGACCAACTGGGGGCTGGGATGGAATAATCGGATTTTTAAAAACCACTGATCCTTGTAACTCTTTTTTCATAAATTACTTAAGAATAATAAAAAAAAAAATGTCAGTATTAGAAGCAGGCTTGTGCCCCTGGTGCAGCCTTCTACCCAACCTGAAATGTGATAACTACAGATAATTCAGCTTTTGCCTGAAGCCTGCTAATTTTTCATTATAGTCATGCGCCACATAACGATGTTTCAGCCAACAACAGACCACACATACGACGGTGGTCCCAGAAGGTTAGTCCCAGAGAGCCTAGGTACATAACAGGCTGGACCATCTGGGTTTGTGTAAGCACACTCTATGATGTTTACACAACGACGAAATCACCTAATGATGCATTTCTCAGGATGTATCCCTGTCTTTAAGGGATGCATGATTGTATTTACATGTTGAACACCTATCTAGTTTCACAAAGAAGTTGAGAAAGGACTTCAACATTAATTAAATTACGCTAAAGATAAATCTGAATTTTTAAGATTAGATAAACATTGTATTCCTTGACCAACCAGCGAACAGAATTGTTCATCATACCACTGCTGTGATGATGGAAAGTAACAGCTGATATGGTGGAGTGTTATTTCCAGTAACAGCTCCTCTTTATTGGGTGCTCACGCTGTGCTGCCAGCACTATCCCCTGTCGTCTACTCAGCAGCCTTATAAGGTTGCTGGTATTGTCCCCCGTTTAGAGATGAGAAAACTCAAGTGTCATGTCACTTGCTCCAGGTGCACAGCGCACGTCTGTGAGGAGGACTGGCTCCTCCTGCACGAAGCCCGCTTCTCCTGTGCTCTCCCCCACCACCACGTTCCCACACTTCCCACACCAGATGGGGGCTTTCCCACACCAAGCAATTCTCGGTGACACCAGCTGGGTGTCCTACCCCTGTACTGAATTCCAACATCACCTGGAGACAGCATCAGACCTCACAGGTAAAGGGCTCGGTCCCACCAGACTGCCCCCACTTCAGATGCCAGTCACAAGTAGTAGGTCCCCAGGTGACCCAAAACTTCTGTCCAACTTGGCTAAAAATTGGAGCGTCCCATGATCTCTTCTCCCTCAGAATAGCTCACAGAACTCAGGGAAACACTTATGTTTACAGGTTAATTATAAAATAAAGGATATGATAAAGGATACAGATGAACAGCCAGAAAAAGAGATACACAGGGTGAGGTCTGGGAGGGTCCCAGGGGCAAGAGCTTCTATCCCTGTGGAGGTGGGGGGCAGTGCCCTCCCATTACGTGGACATGTTCACCACCTAGCAGCTCTCCAAACCCTGTACTTCTGGGATTTTTATGGAGGCTTCATCACAAAGGCACTTCTAGCCCCTCTTCCCTCTCTGGAGGGTGGGGGTGGGACTGAAAGTTCCAAGCTTCTAATCATGGCTTGGTCTTTCTGGTGATGAGCCCCCATCCTGAAGTTGTTCAGGAGCCCACCAAGAATCATCTCATTAGAACAAAAGAGACCCCTATGACCCAGGAAATTCCAAAGGATTTGGGAGCTCTGTCAGGAACCAGGGTCAAAGACCAAATACTAGAACAAAAGATGCTCCTGGTGCTCTTGTCACTCAGGACACACAAGGGTTCTAGGAGCCCCGTGCCGGGAGCCGTGGGCAGAGGCCCATGGACGTGTGCTCTCACCTCACAGCACGGGGCAGGGCTGCAGACCAAGGCCTGTGATTCCACAGTCAGCCCCTCAGAACAACGATGGCTGCTGGTCACTAGTCCAAACCTTTAAATTGCCCACATTGCCACGTGGTGATCAATCACTCTCCTCACTCATCAGCACTCCTAATCCATCAGAACCCTTCTCGATTTCTTCAGAGGGCCTGTCTGCCAGCACACCTGATGACACAGCCCTGCTGCCCACCTTCCCCCAAACATACCCATGATCCTGCGGATGGGGTCGTCGGGACTGGCCACGGCCTGGATCTGGCCCTTGAGCGCGGTCTCCTTGTCCGTGGTGAGGGGGCTGAACCCACACAGGGCAAGGTGGCTGTTCACCTCTAGGCAGACTTTCTCCCCAACGCCACTCAGGGCATCCTCCAGATGGAAGGAGCTTGAGAGAGAGAAGGGAAAGGAGAAGCCAGGGAAGACAGGGCCTGTGAACGAAGCGCACATCCTCCTGGCTCACCCACACCGAGAGTCAAGGGAACCAGTGCAGGGCCTGCCGTGTCCAAAGGGAAAACATGCGCCCTCCTGCCCGCCTGAGCTCTCAGGCTGGGGACCTCTCTCGCTCTCTCTCTGCTAGAAAGGACGGTGGGAACGGGAGGGCTCAGACTCTACCAGGACCAATGAACCCCAAACCCTAATAAACTTATTAGCACCTGTGTGGCGAAACAATCGTGGAACTGACTTATGAATACCTTGAATACCTCTGGATCAAAACATAAGAAATCAGAAATTTTGTAGCTGTGAGACAGGAGTGGGAGAGAAACTTTTCAATAGATAGGGTTTTAATTTTGGAAATATGTCAGTGTATTAACTACTTTAAAAAAATAAGTAAAACTGAAATCCAAAAGTTAAAGAAAATCAGCACCTCGATTCCCGGGGTCCCCAGGCTTCCAGTGTCTGTGGGGAGCCCTGCTGCTGCGGGGACTCCAGGAGAAGGCAACTCTTTTGTACAGCAGAATCAGTGGGAGCAAACGTGCAATCCCAGAACTCACTGCTGGTGCCGGCTCTGGGCCAGCCCCTGACCGCCAGGTGGACACAGCAGAATAGGGCTGGACTTCTTGGGCAGCGCTGCACAGGGGCCCCCGCAGTAGCTTTGACAGAGCACTTCTCCTGGAGAGGGCACAGGTGACAGCCCGGGGCTACCCCTGTGCAAGGGCCTTAGCTCAGCAAACACCCTCCCGGCCTAAGTCCAGACTGTTGAGCCCTAGTCACAACACGTAGACATGCTCGTCATTGCCGTGAACACAGGCACGCTTCGTGCAAACTCAGCAGTAAAATTCCTCCATTTTGAAAGGAGGAGAATGTTTGGGATATTCCCCTTGAAGAGTCCTCTGCATTGGACCTTGTCAGATACAGTGCTAGCTTAGAACCATTCAAAACCATTTCACATGCCGTAAACCACGTAAATCCCCTAATCTGACTTCACCGCAGGAGCAGTTACAGTAGCTGCCCTCAAACAAGTGTGGACTAGTGCTGGTTGATGAAAGAACCCATTTATACCCAGCACAAAACGTCTACAAGCAATGTGCAAAGGCCAGAAGACTGTAATCAGAGTCTGCGTTCCGCACCTGCGGGTTCCGCACCCGCAGACTCCACCAGCCGCGGGTCGAAGGCCCACAATGGTCTCCCCTGCACTGAACACGTACGCACTTTTCCTTGTCCTTATTCCCTAACCAATGCCGTATAACCACTATTTACATTGCATTTGTTAAAAAATTTTTATTTATTTATTTTTCCCCCAAAGCCCCAGCAGATAGTCGTACATCATAGCTGCACATCCTTCCAGTTGCTCTATGTGGGACTCGGCCTCAGCATGGCCGGAGAAGCGGTGCATCGGTGCGCGCGCACTTAACCGCTAAGCCACGGGGCTGGCCCTACATTGCATTTACATTGCATTAGGTATTATAAGTCATGTAGAGATGATTTAAAGTATACAGGAGAATGTGTATAGGTTATATGCAAATACTACTCCATTTTATATAAGGGACTTGAGCATCCCCGGATTTTGGTATCTGTGGGGGTCCTGGAACCAAGCCCCACACAGATACCGAGGGACGACTGTACGTGCAACTCTGAGGACATAGCCTGTCTCTCACATGACCTTTCCCCAGGGACGCACTGGCCAAACTGTTGGTTGTGAAAGCAATTCAGTGGGTAGCAACTAGTGTTTTGTTTTTTTTTAATGGAATGAGAATAGAATAGAAACATCAGGATGTATTAAGCATAGTTAGGGTAAGTTTCAATTTGTGAAGTTTTTATTTTAGTTGCATATGTGTCTAAGTGTGTACTAGGTCACAACAGAAAATGAATTTCTTGCTATGGGTCCTGGTCACAAACACTTGGAAGCCACTATCTGAGAGCCTTGCAAACCTTAGAGTTGACTCTAACTTTGACTGTATGGCTGTTAGTAAATTCCGCTGAGGTGAAGAAAGTTGGAGAGCAAGATTTCCTCTCAGTTCCTAGAGAGTGGTGCTGGATTCTGCCTTTCACTGGGAGACTCGCATTCCAGTCTGCTCTCTGCCACCCGCTGCCTCCCATCCACCCATCCCACTGCTCTCAGCCACTCACGGCAGATGCATATCTGTCAGCAGAATCTTCACAGTTGTCTTGAGTTTCTCGGCAAAGTCGGCCTGGCTAGAGACTCCTGGGGCTGCCATGCTGAAAGTGACCAGCAACACGGCCCCCAGCACGGTCAGGTGCCCCAGCTGCAGCTGGAGCTCTTGGAAGCGAGCCTGATCCATCAAAACCGTCTGTAATGAGCACAACAGGAATCATCCCTGAGCTGGCAATCTGGGCCGGCCAGCAGAGGGCGCTGGGGCCGCACCCCACACGCACCCCCACGTTCCCTCAGGATTTTCTAGTCATTTCAGAGCCATGGGGGAGTCATATGTGAACTCTCCTTCCATTGCACAGCCACTTCATGCTTAGAAAGACTGCAGTGGAGCACGCTCATTAAGAACATGAGACAGACGGTGTGTGAATCCAGACGCCGTCATTCATAGCAGCCTAACCTCAGGCGAGTTTCTTCAGTTCTCTGAGCCTCATGCAAAACGGGGATGCCTACTTCACAGGGCTGTTGTGAAGACGCAAGAAGACGGCGCATATACAGAGGCTGGCGAAGCCCACACTCCATACACAGGAGTTCCACCGCTAGACAGGACAGAGCAATCAGGCACACAGCTGGGGCGACCAACTCATCCCAGTCTGTCCCGCCTTTAACATTGAAACTCCCAGGTCCTGTGACAAACCAGACAAGTCACCCCATCCAGAGTGAGCCCCAGAGGGAAGTGGGGAGAAATTCCTTGAGCACAGGGCCTGCACTCGTTCACCTTGGCATCCCCCTCGGTACCTAGCACAAAGGAGGCTCTCAGGAATGGTAAGTGAATAAAGAAAGAGGAAAATAAATGGTAAGGAGAAAAAGTAGGAATGACAGATAACAACCCAAAGCCACTAGCAAGCCGTCCATGAGTGAATTTCCACGACTGCGTCACCACGTGAGAGACACCCCTGGGTCCCCCCAGGCCCAAGCCCCCCGTGCGGGAGGAGGGAAAGGACAGTAGCAAGGCTGAGGAGATATGACTTCTGACCTCAGTTTTCACAGGTTAATCAAATAAACTTTCAGGACTTCTTCCTATAAGAAACTGACACACTAAACCAAGACATTAACAATTTGAGGTCTTAGCCTAGAATTCTTCTCAAGAAGTAAACCTATTTTTGAAGACTGAGACTCCTCTATCGTTAAACAAAGATGCTTCAACAGACCCATCATCGGCCTCTTGTTTGACCTCACTCTGTGACATGGCAGCCTCCTTGCTTTATGGCCTCCCAACGGTATGCTGTATTTGAGTTCACGATGCAAATAATTTGAGAGGATCAATTCTGAGAGCAGACATGAAAACATCAGCTTCCCCAGGCTATTTTTTAAGAGAAATGTCAGGCTGAGAACTGCCCTCCAGGAGAGAACACGCCCCTCTGCAGAAAGGAACTCTCCCCACCCCCACAATTCAACACCCTCTCTAGAGCCTCCTCTGGCACAAAACTGGGAACTCAGAGGCAAGACGTGAAACCTTAGGCTTACAACGTCCTGAAAGGAAAAATAAGGAAGTTAGATGAGAAAGACATTTAGAGAAGTAGCAGGACCTAAGGCTAGAGATAAGAAGCCTGAGTGCCCTCAAAAAATATGGGGGAGTCTGCACACCAGACCAGCTATTTGCAGACAAATGGGGGAATCCCTGTTAGTCATCTCCTCTCAGGACTACTGCAGTTAGAAGTCCTTACTGTGAAAAACATGAAAAGAAAACAATACTGCTCCCCATGGAAGGGGAAGAAGTTTCTTCAGATAAAACTGAAGAGCAGGTCACCGCTGTGGTTTTAATCAAAATGAAAAAAACAGGAGAGTAATTCAGCAGCACAAATTGGAAGCCCATACCTTGCTGGTGGGATTCTAAAATGGTGCAGCTGCTTGGGAAAACAATTTGGTAGTTCCTCAAAATGTTAAACTTAAGAGTCACTATGAGACCCAGCAATTCTACTCCTAGGTACATACCCAAGAGTACTGAAAACGTGTGTCCACACAAAACCCTGTACACAGATGTTCAGAGCAGCACAATTCATAAGAGCCAAAAAGTGGAAACAACCCAAATGTCCATCAACTGATGAACGAACAAACTAAATGTGGTCTAGCCATACAATGGAACATCATTCAGCCTTAAAGAGAAGAAATGCTGACACACAACCACAGCATGGATGGACCTTGAGCACATTACGCTAACTGAAATAAGCCAGGCACCAAAGGACAAAGACAGTATGATGTCACTCATATGAGTGACCTAGAGTCACCCAAGTCAGACACACAAAGTAGAATGGTGGGTGCCAGGGGCCAAGGGGGAGGAAGAATGAGGAGTTAGTGTTTAGAGAGTTTCAATTTGTGGAGATGGACAAGTTCTGATGATGGATTGTGGCGATGGCTGTACAACGTGTGAATGTGCTTAATGCCACTGAACTGTGCACTCAAAAACGTTAAATTTTGCTACGTATATTTTACCACAACAACAAAAAAAAAAACAACTAAAAAAAAAAAGGAATGAAGCACTGATACATGTTACACACAGATGAACATTATGTCTAGCGAAAGAAGCCTGACACAGAAGGCCAATATTGTATGATTCCGTTGATACGAAATGTCCAGAATAGGCACATCCACAGAGACAGAAAGTAGATCAGTGGTTGCCAAGGTTGGGGGGAGGGGGAAAGGGTAGTGACTGCTAATGGGGACAGGGTTTCTTTTTGGGGTGATGAAAATGTTCTGAAATTAAATAGCGGTAATGGTCACATAACTCTGTGAATATACTAAAAACCACTGAATTATACAAGTTAAAAGGGGAAATTTTCTGGTGTGTGAATTATATCATAACAAAACTATTATTTTTTAAGTTTAGCGGCACAAAAAGAAATGAGCAGTTGAACTAATCTGAAGCACTTACTTCAGGGAAAGGTCTCCGGAGGTGGTCCCATTTCAGAAGCTTCAGGTACGCATAATCCTGGACAGCCACAGGGTCTGGTCTGGGAGCGTCCCCAGAGCCAGCGGCCCCTCCCCCAGCTGGCAGGGCGTGTTCATGCTTCTGATTCATAAGGTCATCGGTGGCTTCTTCCAGCCACTGGGTGACAAAGTCCAGGGAATCTGTGGAAGACAAGGCTGCAAACATTACTTTGACTCTCAAGAGGGAGGTTCCCAGAGGGACTTCGGGAAGACGGTCTGGAGGTGTGGCGTAGGACAGAGCAGGGCTTGGGAATCGACAGAACTCAGTTCTAATCGCAGTACTGCCAGTTACCAGCTGAGTGATCTCAGGCACGTCAGGATCTGTCTGAAGAGCAGAGGCTTTACTTTTTTTTATAATGACAAAACAATATTTTATTTTTTAAATTTTTTATTGATGTCATGGTAGTTTATAACATTGTGAAATTTTAGTTGTACATTATTGTTTGTGAGTCACTGTATAAATGCATCCCTTCCCCCTTTATGCTCACTCCCCAACCTCCTTGCCCTGGTAACCACCAAACAGTTCTCTCTGTCCGTGTGTTGGTTTATCTTCCACATACGAGTGAGATCATGCAGTGTCTGTCTTTCTCTCTCTGGCTTATTTTGCTTAACATAATACCCTCCAGGTCCATCCATGTTGTTGCAAATGGGACAATTTTGTCTTTTTTATGGCTGAGCAGTATTCCCCTGTATATATATATACCACATCTTCTTTATCCAATCATTGAAGATCAGATTCTTAATATAAAGAAACGTACAGCACCACTTCCTAGGCTCTTGTGAGGATTAACAAATAAATAAGATAGTGACTAGGAAGCACCTAGCCAAGGCCTTGAAGCATACAGATGTTCAACAAACCGTTGCTCTCTTCTCTCCCACCCTGACCAACACATGAGATGTGGCTGGAAGCTCTGATGACTCCTGCTGAGCAAGATAGCAAAACTTCTTGCCCAGAGACCGATGGGGAGACACTGGCTAGAGTTTCCCAGTGTAAAGTAGCCTCCACACTGGGGATGAGGCTTTTTCCTTGTCTAGATCTTAATCTTGTCTCAGTCTGGTTTACTCCAGGCCTGCAGAAGGTGAGCTCCAGAGCTCTGTCGTGGAACCTCAGTTGTCCTTCATCTGCTATCATTTCCTCCTACCTTTCTGAGCTGAGGAAAGCACCAGGGACTCTGAGATATAAGAGAGAGATGAGGAGGTTCTTGTCCACAGTATCCGAGCAAAAAATGCCCCTCTCAGGTCCTGGGAGGTATTGCAGCTCTGCCAGTGGAGACTACCCTAAAACCAAGAGGGCAGCTAAGGTCATGGCTGGAGTCCTCTTCACTGCTGGTTCTGTCCACACACTGATCACACTGAGCTCTTGGTTTTGAGCTTCACTCTCTCGTAGCCTTCCGCAGACAGCATCTCCGTAACCCCCAGCTTGGGGAAACCCTGGCTTTTATGCTGTAAGAACCACTAGACTTGGAAGGGGTCGGGATGTAGCAACGCTTCCACTCAGCGTTGTCCTCACTGGGCCCAGCCTGGCACCAGGCTCACATACTAAGGCTCTACAGCCTAGAAAACAGCAATCCCAGACGTCTCCTGAGGGCCAGGACGATGCTGGTTAGGAAAGTGAGCTGTGTGGTCAATCAATTCTGGTCAAAAGTCTCTGAAAAGCTACTTCCAGGGGCTGGCCCAGTGGCGCAGTGGTTGAGTTTGTGCACTCTGTGTTGAAGGCCCAGGGTTCGTGGGTTCGGATCCCAGGCACGGACTTACACACCGCTCATCAAGCCATGCTGTGGTGGCGTCCCACATACAAAATGGAGGAAGATGGGCACGGATGTTAGCTCAGGTCCAATCTTCCTCATCGAAAAAAAAAATCTATTTCCATATCTGTAAAATGGGGTTAAAAAACAGTGCTGACCTCATGGGCTTCCATGTGAGGGTCATGTACAGTAATGCACACACACCCTTAGCACAGCCCAGGTGTGTCAAGAACATGAGCCATCGTCTTTTACTGCTCCTCCTTTGCTCTTTCCTGATTCTTCCTGGCCCCAGCACCACCTCGATGTCTCTGTCGGGGGCTGGACAGACTCAGGACACTGCACTAACTATTCTGGTCAGGCAACAATGGAAATGTCCGTCCAGATGCTGACATTTCATCTTGTAACCAGCAAAGTCAGAGGCTACACAGAACTCGGAATAAATTGGACCCGAAGACCACAATTTACCCAGAACCTCAGCTGCCTGTGCAGAGACCAAAAAAAGCACCTGAGAAATGCAACATTGTTTTGGATGCTATGGTCACCTGTTTTCTTGCAGTCATCTGAGAGGTTCATAAAAACGAGACTTTTTCTGGATGTGAAACCAGAGGATTTACGCATATGGAACGAAGCAAACTGCAATTTCTTGATCCACTTCATAAGGAAGAACAAAGGGAATTAAACAGTCACAAGAAGTTTGTCATGATTTTAAAATTAAGCCCAGAGGGGGG